AACCAGTCCCCAGAAACCACTCCCCAGAAACCACTTCCCAGAAACCACTTCCCAGAAACCACTTCCCAGAAACCACTTCCCAGAAACCGGTTCCCAGAAACCACTTCACAGAAACCACTTCCCAGAAACCACTTCCCAGAAACCACCTCCCAGAAACCACTTCCCAGAAACCAGCCCCCAGAAACCAGAAACCACTTCCCAGAGACCATTTGACCCGCGTTCCGAAACGATCCGAATCCGCGTTCCGAAATGAGCTGAATTCGCGTTCCAAAACGAGGCGGCGGCCGTTCAGTAGGAATAAGGTACTGTAATCTGCCATGTTGACAGCACTGTTGTACAAGCAAAATTAAAAGCACCTGCATACTGCTCTCCAGGGAGTGCTGCTGCCGTTGTGGTCAATGTCTTGCGTGCCATACGCATACATTGATACAGCATGTCTGCCAATGGGACTCCGTCGAGCAGCGGATACTCTTTCGCTGCTTTTGCGTCCATGCCCCATGCTTCGCAGGTAGCTGCCAATATTAGCTGCAAGAGGCCCTGCCTTGCGGATCCTTGCGAAATGCCTGTGTATGCGTCTGCCACGCCAGCAGTGTAGGCCATCTGCACAGGCATCAACCATACTTCTACCAGCGCGTCTGCCAAGCCTGGTCGTCGCACCAATGTGACTGCTGCCTCAGACCCATTCGCTATGAAGCGTTTGGCCACGGGTTGCTGTGCATGACGGCTTTTGCCATTGACTATGCGTCCTATCAAGGCAACGGCAAACGGTTATGAGGGGTCTCAGACCTTATTTGCTTGTCATTTAGCCACGTTCCACCAAGCACGAGCCGGAAATAGAGACGAATCCAGCGAGTTGCTCAAGCAGGTTCAGTCAAACCCCCTCGCCTCCTGCCAGCTGAATGCGCTATCCTTTCTTGGATTTCCAAGAAATCACGGAGCCTTCGCTGTTGCGCCATACGTAGTCCTGACGAAAGGTAGCAGGCCCAAGGACTGCAAGCTAAAGGATTGCAGGGCAGAGGCGGACACGGGCAACCCAGAGCTAGGAGACAGATGTAAAGTCAAAGGATTTCGAGTCTGAGGTCGGCACTGCGAGGCGGACAGCAGTCCACACAAGGTGGACAAACATAAAATAATTGAGGACCCGAACAGTATTGTGTTTGGGGAAAAAATCACTGCGTGACCCTTGAGGACTTTAGTATAATAATTGTCGGCGGCGCAGCCCTGAGAAGGGAGACAAGACGGACACACAACCAAAGGAAACAGAAGGGGGGACAAGACGGAGAGAACCCCAAACAGTAAGCGGAAAGGCCGGACACCTGCATTGCAGCATGGGAGACACACGAATTTGAATTGAATAGAAATGCTGCATGGCCTGCGGAAAAGGGCGGACACCAGCAGTGACAGCGGGAAACAAATAGTGAATCCACTAAATGCTGCATGGCCAGCAGAAAAGGGCGGAGCATTGACAGCGGGAGACACTTGAATAGAAATTGCAGCAGGGCC